TGTAGGGCCCTTCTGAGACTTCCATGTTAGTTTCGGTTTAGGGTTTAGGGTAAAAGAAGTGAGTTTTGAGAATCTGGAAATCAGGTTCTTCGGGTTTAGGGGTGGGGGGGCTATGGTATCTGGAAATCAGGCTCTAGCAGCGTCAGGTGCCGTTTGAATGAGCTACCTCACTAACTTGACTTGAGAGTCTATCCCTGGTCGGCTTTTGCTTTTGCGGGTTCCTGGCTTGCAAGCAGATAGCTCAAACTTTCGGATCTAGGGATGGATGATAGACTCTCCCCCTGATATCAAAACCGCCCCCACCCACAGCATAGAAAATATGCCCTATAAGAGACTATCGTGTGCGTGTGTGTGCAGATAACATGCGTGTGCAGATTTGAATTAGGGGAGGCGGCTGACCGTCAAGGAGCCTTGGCTATTTGTGGACGCTAAGATTCAGTTGAAAAGCCCCCAGATTATTGCCGACATGTCCCAGCATGAACTATTTCAAGCATTTTGCTGATGAAGCCCACTCGCCCTGCCCTAAGAGCTCTCGCAACTAAAGCCGACATAATTTGGGCCTTGCCGCCCACTAACAGTCATAGATAGGGAGTGCGTTAGGGGTAGGTTAAAACATCAGCCACAGTTTGTTTTGACTACTCATGGGTGGGGTGGGTGCCCGAGATAGCGTCGTTGTGGGGTTGAGGGTTCAGGGTTACGGAATGAGGTCTAGACTTGCAGGTGTGCTCTTACCTCTTTGAGTTTACGACCAAGCAAGTGTCATTGACTGCCCAGCACAGGGAAACTTTGTTTCAGCGGTTGGGTTTAGAGTTCCATGTCCATGGCTTCTGAACTGGCCAGTTGACATGGTAGTTTCCCAAATAGGGGGCCCCCAATGTAGACCCCAATATATGATTGTCCCAAACAGGTACGCGTAATTTTGGGAACCCCCCCACATTGTGTGACCAGGAGGCCCTATTGCCTTCGAGAAACTTGCGCGCCGCTTTTTGTCAACAGCGAGACGCCCCCACCCGAATACGCCGCAGACCTAAACCCTAAACCCCTAAACCTTAAACCCTAATCCCTAAACCCCAAAGCATCACCTTAAGTCCTCTGACTGTTATGTTGCTTCACAGAAGGCACATAGTTGCTTTGAGAACGGATCCCAGGATCCCAGAAAAAGGAGAGCGGTCACAATATGAACCAAGAAGATAGGCCAACTTGAGGGTTTAGGGTTTCGGATAGCCTCGTTAAAAGGGGCTTATACAGGGGATTATGTAGGGTTTAGGGTTTAGGGTCTTAACTCCTTAAAGTTTTATTTGAAGAAGATAGCCTTACTTGGCTCCTCCACCTGAAGCACCTCTCAGCTGCCCTTTTTTTCCATCTTAAGCCCGTAATCCTCAGCCCTTAAATCGTTAGTCCCAAGCTTAAACCCTGAGACCTAAACGCATATAATTCGAAGGCTACACCAGCATGAGCCCGCAATCTTGGAGATCCTACATATACCTACAGTATGTATGAATACCCTAAGCCTTAAACCCTAAGCCCTAAACCCTAAACCGTAGTCATATTTCCAACCTGTGACAGTTGGGGTCCTCGCAGTTGATGGTCGTGCCGTTTTGCAGTCAGATCCTGCATCGCACAGATGGGGCGCCTACCGGCGTGTTTAGGGCTTGCTTGGGCATAAACAGAGATTGTTGCTTAGCGTTTAGGGATGAATGCTTTGCACCTTACAACAGGGTTTAAGAACTTGGCTGTAGTGTTTTCTGTCCGACAACTTGTGATCGCTTTTGAGTAGCCCTACAAGGAGGATCATAGTCCTATGCGGTATATTGGGGTTATATTGGGATAATGGAAAATAAAATGGAAACTACTATAATGGGTTATATAGAGTATATAATATTGGGTTTATTTTGGTGTACTGTATAGAGGGTAAACCTGTTCTGGAAATACTCACATCGACTGAAAACAGCCCTCAATTGCTTGGTATACTGGGCTTCTGGTCTCTAGCATACCAAGCGTGTTACGGACAACTAAGCTCAGGATGTTGGATGTAGCTTTGCTGTCGGCATTGTTCCCATGTCTGAGCCCACGCCTCATGATAAACGCGAAACCGAAACCCCACACACACACAGACACACACACACACACACAAACACACACACACACACACACCCACACCCACACCCACACCCACACCCACACCCACACACACACACACACACACACACACACAGAGGGGGCAACTCAAAGCGACCTCACCCGGCCTCACCCTAAATGGTGGTTTATATAGGGAATAATACCAAAATGGCCTTACATTGGAGTTTGAATCAGTCTAAATTACCCTGCACACACCACCAGACAGCTTTACTCTCAACCAAGGTCTCAAAATAAGGGCCGCAAGCCTGCAAAGCGCCCTGTCAGACTGTGCTGCGATTGTGGTAGCTGCCTTGATTAGCTCAGCTCGCAACAAGCTCGCTGGTTAGTGCCACAACTATATGGGTTGTTCTCCAAATGACGGGCCCTTTTTGGTTATGGATTATATTACGGCCCCGAATATTCAGGGGCACCAAAAAAGGACCATAGTTTTGGGAACTACCCATGTTTCTTCAGAAATCTACGTAGGCTGACCAGGTTCGTCCGAGTTCAGGTCAAGCGTTCCCTACAAGTTTGGCTAAAAGGTGCCCCTTCTACATACCCGATACTTCTTGAACAGTGGCACCACAAAATTCAGACACCATCCAGCCCAACCATCCTAATACCTGGAAACACTGAGACCTATCTAGGTGCCAGAGTTCAAGCTGGGCAATGCAGCCCTCATAGAATATTGTTTGGTTGGGCCTTGGGGCTGTTCCTTGTGAAGTTGGAACACTATCACACCCAAATTCAAAGCCTCAACGCTACCTACTTGAGAACTCTGCTCCCTGCCATTTAGCTTGAGGCTTACGGTCTTGTTTGGGGTACCCTTAGAGGTTTTGCATCAGGGTCTTTAGTAGGTGACGAGTTCCATCAATGAGCCTCGAATGACCAGCTAGCCAGCCCCTCGTGAGTCAGCCAGATAGCCTATGACTTACCGGTGTTTCTGGGGGAGCGTGTGGGAGAATACAGGAACCATCATCTGGGTTGCGGTTAAGGAACTTCAACAGAGTTTCTACAGGCAACAAACCGCATCATTTACTATAGGCCCAGAATGTGGCAGTTTACTTCCAAGCCTTTAACAGCAACCCAGTCACACGCGAATTATATAGTGGTTTCCAAGACAGGGGTGTCCCAACATCGACACTAAGAATATACAAGGCTTCTTTAGGCAGAAGCTCACAAAGTTGTGCTCCTGATTTTTCGGAACCCATATTCATATGTATGTAATTGTGTATATATTTGGGGACATACTATACAGCGGTACTTTTATGTGGATCCACTCCCAACTTTCCCGTCAACACCAGTAAGATGATCCGAATATACTCGCCGGGCTCGATCTCACACCGGAAAACGCACGCATCGGTTCGGGTTAAGCTGTCCAGGTGGCCCACAAGGCGGGATTAAGGTAGGCGGGCGAAAGGATCCTTATTGTAGACTCCACCATGTTGGGGCTGATTTCCTATACCCCACCTTTCTCTACCGTACCTTCCCAGCCCGCTGAGATTTGTGGAGTTCCGAGCTTCTGTGGTGTTATACGGTTAGGCCGAGGGGTTGTGCGTTCAGGGACGTTTACTTTGAGGTCTAGAGCCTAGGGGTTGAGGATTTGGCCCAGGAGTTGCGACTGAGGAGCTGTTGCTCACACTGATTCAGGAGGGTTGCGTGATATATAACCCCCCTATATATATATATATATAGTCCCCCTTAAGTAGATAGAATACGGGGTATACGGGATCTTAATGTAATCTACCCAAAGCCATATTCTATTTACTTAAAGGAGGATAATATATTTACATATACACATATTCTATTTCCCATACAACCCCCTTTAAGAAGTTTAGAGTATAGGTATCCTGGGCTGCAATGAGCAGCTTCATGGCCCTAACGGCCCAAGGACCCGAATAATGGGGTCTCTGGTTTAGGGTCCAAGAATCCAAATAATAGGGTTTTAGGGTTTCAATACTATAATATGAATGGTAGTTGGGCCCTAAAACCCAATTATTTGGGTCCTTGGACCCTGGGTTGCATATCAGCAGTCCCGGTTCCTACGTTTCACCGGAAGTTCTACACCCGCACCATTCCAAACTCCAAGAAAATCATATTGTAGTGGTGCAGTTGTTATTAAGTCCGGGGGGGTGGGGGGGCGGGGGTTCTCATGGGCAGGGGATCAGTTGCTGTGATTACTTTCGGCGACCCCTGTGCCCTCCGCTCCCGTGTTTGGACGACGACGTTCCTGAGGGCCCATTCTTCCAGTTGATTGAGGTTTGACCGCATGGGTGGTATTCAGCTCAAAGCACCAAGTCCAGTTGACCCAGGGACTTTCTGCAACTTAACTAAACCATATGTATGCGCTGAACCCCGGTAAATCCTACATCCTCGCCAGCACGGTTTTGTGAACAGACATCTTCTTGGATGAGGCATGGGTCGAGGAGACTGGTGTTGGAAGCAAGAAAATTGCGAATTTGCATGGAAGTTGGCCACATCCCTAGACATCTGTTCCTACTGAATCTCGAGTGTACACCTCTTGGAGGTGTAAACCATTCCCTTACCCCAAAAACCGCCCTCCCCCCCCCCCATACTGCAGATTGCCAATGTTACAAGGCCTGACCACATTAGACGTGCTCGTTGTGCTGCACAGCTGGGGAGAATCTACCCTCAACCCTGTGAGGCACTACAGGGTGGTTCTCCACTACTAAGATAGCTACACTTGTAAGCCCCATAACTAGAGTTAATACGACCTGTAATTCCCTAGGGATCCAAGTATATGGGCCCCAAAGTCTGTAAATATTACCTACATTGGGCTATTTGGATCCCTAGGGATTGTACTTACCCTAAACCCCAACATAAACCGCGCCCATCCGTCTCTTAGTTGCTCCTTCTTGTAGGAGCACGCATTGGATTTCTTCGACTCCAGGCTTTCATGTCCAAGGCTCTGCTACAAAGGGTGGACTTTCCTGTCCGTTTAAATTGAGGGTGGTTTGGGAGTGTGGAATTCCATGGAAGTTTCGGGGAGGGTGGGAGTCAAGGGAACACGGTTCTAAATGAGAGGTTTTGCGGCCAACTCCCGGTTGCTAGCAGGGACCTGACGGAATGGAACAGAAATTGATAAGCACTATCTCATTCAGGATTTTCGTCTTTGGGGATATTGAGCCTAGTAGGGAATTCAGGAATGGAATAGAGGGATTACTGTCGCATTCTAGAGGGAGTCGTTCTTCCACTGTCTACTACTCTGTAGGGTCCCCGCAGGGCTCAAAAAAAGCCTAGTTGTTACGGTTCAGATTTTAGGGCTCAGATTTAAGGGCAGGTGTAGGTGCTTGGGTGGTTCTAAGCGGGTCTTAAAGAACCGGAGCTCTACATTTGTCAGGCGAATTGAGGAACCACATTTGGTCATTTCTCTGATGCCTGACTAGCTGTCTTGAAAGGGATTTGTGTTTTATTTTCAGCGGTTGTTAACAACCCTATAGACCCTTTAAGGCATCCATGATTTGGCGGCTTTAGATTTAGGAGTTAGGGTTTATTATATTATGGATTACAAAACTACCCCCTTGTACTACACCGACCAAAGGTTCCTCTTAATTAGGTGACCCACCACAGGTTTATTAGGCAATTAGGGTTAATGAGGCTTCATAGCTATATGAGCAAGAAGGATATAAGAGACCCGACCTTGAAATCCAGCTACCTACAGTCCCTGGGTTAGGCTTGAATGTTTAGGCTCTAGGGCAGATTTACATGTAGGGTCCTAACCTCAAACTGAGGGTCTCTTGAGTCTATGGTACAGTCTTATGCCTACACAACACAGTTGTTTCTCCCTGAGCAAGTCAACATTTTCAAAAAGATGTTGAGCCTGCTGGGACTTGTGCAGGCTTCGGGCTGGCATTTAGGGTCCAGGGGCTTGGGGTTTAGGGTTTAAGGTTCGGGGGTTGAGGGGTTTGGGATACCATAAACCATTCGGGCCTCAGCGCAAAACAAAACACATCATAAACCTTACACATGCGCGCCTTTTGAACTGTGGAAACGTGGAGATCCCACCATGAGCATGCACAGAACATGGACCATTTTGAGACCCCTGATTTGCACCCAGCACACTACGTATACCCTATAAACCCCAGACGCCTTCGCAGTCCCTTTCAAAGTCCCTTCAACTGTGCGGGGGACCCACACCCTGATCCCTTCCACTGCTTGGATCGGTTTTGGTTTAGCGTTTAGGGTTTGGGGTTTAGGATATAGCGTTCAGGGTTGAGGGTTTGGGATGTAATTAGGGTTCAGAGTTTAGGGTTTCTTGCCTGCGGTCTAGAGTTCAGGGGCTTAGGATTTTTATGGCATAGTTAGGTCTTCATTTGAAATGGTGGGCGTGTTTTAGAAGTGAGTAGTATGTAGGGTAGATCCCCCAGTTGTCAAGTATTTCCCTTAGTCCTAGGGTGGGGGAGGCCCTGGGAATCAACCTTAGTATAGCAGGATCGTCTGAGACTGGACGTCCCCAATCTATGATCAAATCGGCTCTTCAAAAGAGGACGATATCAGCTTCCATGTTTCTTTGGGGGAGGGTCACGCACCATGGTTCCACCCTCGTCAAGTCTATTTAGGGAACAGAGGGTTCATAAGGCTAACTAAGTGGGCGAGTAGCCGTGAAGCTTAAAGCCTAAACCCTAAACCCTAAAAGGCAATAAATGTCACTGGAGTCGCAGGTGTCGGGCGTCTGGTGCACGTTACGCAGTCCTGAGGCTCCTACAGTTCGAGGCTTTTTCAGAAGTCTCAGGTCTTTAGTTTTGGGAGGCTGCCCCTCATGTTCAATTATCCCAAGCCCCTAAAATGCCCCCTACTAATTAATGTGAGCTATAGTCTAGACTCCTTTAAAGAGGATATATGGGGGATTCTATGGGGAATATTATAGGGGTTACTAAGGGGGATACTAGGAATTTAGACAATGGCTGATATGAGCTTATTTGTTCGAGGAGGGTATAGGTTTGGGGTATATCAGAGCGAAGGGGCCACTCAGGCAAAATCCAGGAAGCCACTAGCAAGGGCTGAAGCTCCTGTTGATAGCCTTTAAAGCGGCTCTGCTGCAAGGGGCTTTAACTTCGGAATCCTGTTGGGGGCCCCATCCAATAGCAAAGGACCCCTGAGACCTCCTGCAGGCCTTTCCATGGTGCACTATGCTCTCCTAATATGGCACCCCCCCTTCTTGGAGCCCCCTCAAGCCAGAGCCTCCTATGCATTTTTCGACTTTTTTGGGAGTATATGAGAGTCATGACCCAAAACACAGCAAATCTAAAAAGAAGTGCATGCCAGCCTTTGCGTGAGGCCTCGTCGACTAACACACACACACAATCCCTTCATACTGAAGTTAAAGGCAACCACACACCTTAACATGTCCCTTCATGTATAGAATCTGTATGATGGGACAAGCAAGAGTTCTTCCACCCAGCAGCGAGTTTGTCAACCTACCTGTCTACCGGGTGAAGCCGATAGAAACCAACAAGTCCATCCTGAAGAAACCCGAGCGAGGATTCATCCAAGTAAACCCCCAGATTTACCCAGACCCTGCATTTTGCTGTGAGGGTGACCCTAAGATACTTAGCTTTGGATTTGGGCCTCTCGGTGCTATCCTGCAGTTGGCGTGAGGTTAAAGCTCAGCTCTTCCTGCATAAGACATTACCTCTGGGGTGGACTTCCTTGGGGCCCTAATGTAAAGGACTCCTTGAACTGCAGGGCTTCAAGATGGTAGCATAGGTGCTGCAGCATGACGCAGTCTCACGTTCCTAGCTTGGTGATTTTTTGTTTTTGCTGCTTGTGGCGCTGTAAGTACGACAATTGAAACTGGCCACAAGCTGCAAAGGACATATCCCACCCTAAACCCTAAACCCCAAACCCCTAAACCCTTAAACCCCTAATCCCAAATGAGAAACTCCAATCTCTACGCAGCCATGCAAATTCTTCAACACTCGTCGTATAACATAATCTGGGTTGCTGTTAAGGAACTTAAATTAGGTTACCATAATGGGTATTTATAGTAAATAATAGGCTTTCCCCAATATAGTAACTTAATCTAAGTTCCGTAACAGCAACCCAGTAATTCATAGCATGCCATTGAAGCAGTGACTTCGCAGCGAGGGACTCCTGGGCACTGCCTCGTGCTGGAGGCGTTCCGCGTTGATTTTTCCATGGCGCCTGAGAAGTCTGCTTATCGGGTATCAGACACCTTTAGCGTTCAGACGTCGTTCCTCAAGGTTTATGTGCAGTTTATGGGCGTTCCGGGTCTGCAGGGTTTCATCAAATAGGTGTTTGCGTTTACGAGTTGGCGAAGTAGGCCTTTGAGCATGTGGCAGTGCCTGGATGCGGACTATACGGTCAGGGGAGGGTGAACGGCTAACAGTTTCCTGATATGATGAGTCCTTTTGTGTAGATACAATATGGTGTATATGAGGATCTTATCCTTTGTGCTTGGGGAATTCCATGTTCTGTCTAATTCGGGGGGACTGGAAGGCTTTGCTTGCATCAGCATCCTCCATCATGCGAACCCTGAACTCTAAGCTTCACCAGGCCTAGAGCTTGTGCTTGTGGTTCCATGTCATCTATAGTCTACACTCCTTCAAGGGTTGTTAAATAGGGGAGTATATAGCGGACTACTATAAGGGGTATTGAGGGGCATACTGAGATTTTAGACCATGGCTCATGTACCTGAATAGTTACCTCCCCTGAAGAGTGGTAAACACCCCTTACCTTCAGACTAAAATTAAAGTATCAATGATTCGCGAATCACTTTCATGGAACAACAAACACTGCCCGTCAACATTTATCACTGAAAGTGGTGGGGGTTATTACCAGGCGGGAACTGCGGCCTGGCTGTGGTACCGGCATCGGTATTTTCCCCATCTTTGAATCACTGGTAATCTGGAAAGATCTGCTGTTCCCGGGATGGCACGTGTACTTGACGACGGTGGTTTGTCAACATGCTCCCTGTCTCAATGATCTTTTCATAAGTCTCAAAGACCCCCAAAGTTTGTCAAGGACCCCCATTTTCCCTAGGGATCCAACTAGCCCAATGTAGGTAATATTTACAGACTTTGGGGCCCAATGTAGGTATTATTCATATACTTGGATCCCTAGGGTTTGAAAAGACAACAGTCAGTCAGTGCCGAGCTTAGATACCCTATTATAATATTGTAGTTTCCATTCTACATAACCCTAGGAATATAGGATAATAACCCCTATATACCCCTGTATAACCATAGTCAGTGCCGAGCTTCTCCCTGTCGCCAGCCTTGGAGGCAACATGGGGCACATGCGGAAGGACACAGGTGCCAACGCTGCGTGCTACACTCCCGGAAACTGACATGGAAACCTAAAAAAGACCCTATCAAGATTACAGTCCTTCTAAAAGGGGACCATATGGGTTTCCATGTTAGTTTGGGGGAGTGTAGGTTTCGGACTTTCGCTTTAAGCTCCCGGGTTGGGCAAGGCTGTCAGTGGTCTGATCCCTACAGTAGTCTCTATAGAACCCTCCAGAAGTAGTTGCTATTTTCTTTGATCTCCCGCTCTGCTGATAACCAGCGGTAGATTATGGCAGAGAAGGAGCTCGGCATGACAACAGGCCGCCAAGAAAAGAACTCCGGGACCCCTCCAAAGGCTTTATGTAGTGTTTAGGGAAATTTTTGAGCCAGGCAGAATCCCACGGTGGCCTTATTCCCGTCTTCGGGAGTACTACCAATAGTGTGGTTAGGGCGCGGGTAGCATCGGAACACAGTCCTGCCCTTTGAGCCAGTAAGAAGCACTGTGGCCTGGGAGGGGCTCAGGGCTTTAGACTTCAGATTCTAGGGGTTTGGGTTTAGCACATGGCATCTGACCCCGTCGAACGAAGTTCGTGTAAGAGCCCCAGCAGGATAGATTCCATGTATGGGCCCCGCGGAAGGACGGAGTATTTCAGAGCCAAACCCTAGGTCCCTAAACCCTAAAGCCTTCAGCCAGACATGAAAAGCTGCTCTGCCCAGACTTGGCCACATTAGGGGTCCACATATCCTTGACACAATAAATTGCAGAGCTTCGGAGGAAAGACTATAGTGACGTAGAAAGTGGGATTGCGGCTTTATGGGGACCAAGAATTTCCTGAGAATGAAGCTCCCAGCCCAGCGCTCTCATCCCCTACGTGTAACGCTGCTGCGTTGGGAATCATTACCCTCAGGGTCCAAGGACCCTAATAATAGGGTTTTAGGGCCCAAATACTATACTATTTATGGTATTTGGACTCTAAAACCCTATTATTTGGGTCCTTGGACCCTTAGGGTTACTGTCCGGTGACGAAGGTTGTCATTTTGGTGGAGTGAAGCGGTACATTCAGGCCTATCAGCATGGCCTGAACCATGCCAACTTCATTACATGGGGATTTCCCAAAATTAGGGATACCCACTATAATGGAGAATCAAATGGAAAAGAAAATGGAAAATGAAATGGAAACTGGGATTATAGGGGATTATAGGGTTTAGGGTTTCCCAAAATTAGGGCTACCTGTTTCAGGGGTCCCAATAATAATGATTATGGTATTTTGGAGTCTACATTGGGGTCCCCCTATTTTGGGAAACTACCACATTGAGCTAGGGTTAGATGCTCTTATGGTTTAGGGGCCAGAGAAAACAAGATGGTCAACCTTGTTCAGGCAAGTGCATCCTCGCCGAATGCCCTGCCTGCAATGAGCGCTGGCAACAAGATGGGGTTGTTTGATTGCGACAAAAAAAGGAGCCGCCACTGTGGAAAGCTGTTTGGGTCAGAGCGTTCTTGTTGTGACTCGGTCGGGACACTTTGGTTTGCAAAGTTCTATAACTTCTCCCAGCAGGACACTAGGAAACACAGCTGACCTGGTAGTGCCCGAGGCACATGGTAAAGACTTGCACCGTCACATCGCTCGTAGCTAGTACCAACGCACTTGCGAGGGAAGAATGAAAAGGGCTAGACGACGAAAAAAGTTATAATAGTTGCAAGTATGACCGCAACGTACTTTTTATCATGTCGATTCGACTTCTGAGCGTGCTACGCAGATATAGGAGTCGTGGGCTTAAATAGAAGCAGTGGGTTATCTCTTGATCTTGATAAGTCTTCTCTTAGTTCTCAATAAGGTCAGTATTCATGGATGGTGTCATGTAGGCTTAAGGGCATGCACGGTTTACCTCTGGTCGCAGAGAAGAAAGGAGTGGTCAATAACATGGCAGCTACCTTAATACGGAGGATCATGTGAACTATAGTCTAAATTCCTTCAAGGGGGGTTATATAGGGGACTATTAGGGGGGTTATTCAGGGGGATACTAGGAGTTTAGACAATAGCTCAGGTAGTCATTACTAAGGCACTAAGGATCCATTTTTCGGTTCCGTGCTAACCAGACGTAAGAACCCCTCTAACAAGCATCCGTGAACTTCAAGAGCTTGAATCCTATTAATGTGGTGAATGCGGAGCTGCTTCGCTAATATGGGCATTCCGCGGAGAAAGGCTCGCTCGACCAGTCAGTCAGTCAGTCAGTCAGTCAGTCAGTCAGTCAGTTGGGTGTTTACTTAGCTGCCTCTTCTGTCGACCAAGAAAGAACACAACCTGACTCACAAGACGATGCAGCCCACCCTCCGTTCCTCACTAATAACTCTGCATCCAAAGTAAAAACATTCTGCCATTACCATACGTGGGGGTCAGGGGGTGGACTGGGCACCTGCACTGAAGTTTGGTAAGCGGCTTGTACCAGCGTAATTAGTTACGCTACAACGTTTAGGCACGACGCACCACAACCACCAGAACCCTTGGGATCAGTACGTGACGTCACCCAGCCCGGCCGTGGGACATGCCCCGGCGAAACCACACCTGGGACGTGGGTTCTTTCAAAAAATCTACACTCCCGTTGACACCAGCATGCTGTGGTCGTGCCGACCTACTGATGAAGTATCCAATGACTCTTCGCCGCTCATCGCCAAAAAACTCGAAACCTCCATCCTAATCCACTTCATGCCCTCCCACACCGTCAATGCCTTCACCGGAGTGCAGAAAGAACCATACGAGGAAGGAGTCTCCGGGGTGTATTTTGCCATCAAGCATCTCCCAGCCA